CCCAGCTATAAGTACGCGCGAAGACAACATGTTCCCAACAGCGTAGCTCTGATAAGCAGGTGCAAAATGACTGGTATTTGCAGTACTTTCGAGCTCTTGCAGCAACTTCTTCTGTTATACTGCCCCATGGTCTCCGGGAAACCCCCAGGGACTTGCCTCTGAAGTTGTGAGCCGTCGTATGGGCCGTCCGACGCATCTTGGTGAGTCTGCCAGGGCAGGACGACGCTAGCCCCCGTTGCATCGGACACCATCGCCGAGGCCGCGTAAGTAGAGGGGTCCGTTCAGAATGGGTCCCTCCGGTTTTTCCGGGAAGCTACAATGGCTTTCGCAGCGAGAAGATTTCCGGTGACTCTGCAGTCACTCTGAAGTCCACCTAGCTTGGAGTGGTGTCAGCGGCAGTGCGAGCATCAGCATGTCGCGATTTGAAGCCCTGTCGCCAGATGCCGATCCGGAATCCTTCCTACCAGGACCATGCCAAAGGATGGCCGGGGCCCAGAATAAAGAGTCTTTCATCGTGTGGATGTGCTGTTGCGAGCAGGTCCGAGTGCAAGGTCACGGGCAAAGATGTCCTGCCTGCCGGTGCAGACGCGCCGTTTGGACGACACGAGGTGCAGATCATTCTGGTTGCATTGGACATTGGACCACGGTTCCAGATTTCTGATGCAGAGCGGTCGGTGTGTGTCTCTGGGTGCGTGTGGGCGCTGTGCTTCTGTGAATTCCGAATAAATGAGAATATAGCCTGGCACAATGCCGGACCAAACAAACGAAATTACCGAAGCGTCTGTGGTTTCGTCGCGCTTGATGGCATCTGCGAAAGATGCTGTGAGATGCGGTCGCTGAATCACACCGGACCCCAAAAACTTGGCCAACTACCTCTTCCAGCCGAGGAATGTTCAGTGCTGCTAGCCGTGTCTCTGCCGAGAGTTCCATGATTACTATGATCTTCCCAATTTGACCCAGGATACTGTTAGGTGTCCAGCACTGGAGTCGCTTGACGCAGCAATTCAAGTCTAGGTATGCGGAGCTCTGTGAGAAGTGCTTCTCTCGTTTCATGCTGCTGCAGGCCTTTGGCATGAAGGTGCCGGACACTTCACAGGTTCTCCACCATGGAGTAGCGCCAATTCATGGCTACAAGGCTTGCTTGCATAGGAGCTGGCATCCATGCAGTCCTGAGAGGGTGCTTCAAAACCGCCTCAACTCGTGCAAAGGGCTACATTCCGGGGCGTATCAGCGAAAACGTGATTGGCGAGCGGCAGGGCAAGTCTATCGCATTGGCAGGCAGACGGTTTGTGGCCAGGGTCATTTGCTTTGCCTGTGGTCCACCTAAGACGCACCCAATCGACACTGCGTGTTTTGACAGACCATCTACATCGTAAAGCGCGACTTCGGATCACCCAGCGCTGACGACAAGCTGACGTTTGCCCTTGTGGGACTTAGACAGATCATGCAGGGTGCAAAAGGCTACCTGACACACTCCAAAGGAGTCTGTCGTTGAGTCCGTTTCACTGCGCAGCTTTGTGTAAGGCTGACTTCAAAGGGCATTGCAGTATATTGCGGTAAAGGGTTTCCTGATGTGTCGTTGTTTGAGCGAGATTTCATGTCTGCCTTCGTTCTGGATTCGAGCCGTGCTGAGGAAAGTGGAGTGTCAAAGCCCGGCCCAGAGAAGGCAGAGACGCTGCTTGAGACGGCGAAGGACCGAAGACTGAGGTGAAGATGTGCTGCAGACTGCCTCCGCCCAACGTGAGACTGCAGGGCAAGCTCGCTGCAATCAAAGAGCACCTGGGCAGTCTTGAGTCTGGCTGTTCCGAGGACGGAGCTGAATCATTTTGGATAGTCTCTTGCGAGTCTTGCTTTCGCATTTTGGCTTCGCTTCTTCCCGCGAGAATCCACTTGCTGGTAGCATGCCGTTTGTCTCACAGGAGCTGAAAAGCACCCTCCAGGCCTGAAGAGCTTGCATCCGCATTTTGAAGCCACTCGTCATCTCGTCGTAGGTGGTGAAGCAGTGTCCCGTCATGTGCGCTTGTGCAACCTGCAGCCTTGGTGTGCCTTTACTTCCACCCCTCGTTGCAGTGTACATGCCGGATCCCGGATCGTGCCGAAACATGCTCGTGCAGTCTTTGAAACTGCGTTCCGTAGACTCCGCATTCTGCTGTCCGGCCACGAGGTGGGTCTGGGACCCTGCCAAGTGAAGGTGAAAGACTTCCAGGAACGACTGTCTAGGCTGGAGTGGACGCGGGAAAGGAGTGTCCAAGAGCTTTGTCAAGCCTGTCGTCAGGCTGAGCCACACCGTGGCGCAGTACAAGCTGAGCGTTGAGGCCACGAAGGAAGAGACCACAAGCAAAACACAGGAAGGCGGCGAAGGCGGTGCCAGCGAAGGCACCGACACCCAGAATGGAGGTGCCACAGCCGCTCCCACCACAACGCCTCCCGCAGCTCCCGCAGCAGATCCCCCCGCAGCGGCACCCCCCGCACCGCCTGAGATGGCATCCGTCCAGCAGCCTGCTGCAGCGGCGCATGAAGTGCAGAAGGAGGATTCCCCGATGCAAATAGACGAGCCTGCACAAGCAGGCAAGCCTCAAGAAACTGGCGCTGCCCCCGAAGGCACCACAACTCAAACTGACGAACCACGTCTTGACCTGTCTTGTCACGGTTCTGATTCAGGTGACAAGAGCGGGGCCTGACAGCCGAGAGCATGCAGGGCCTGCAGACTGCTGGATGCGCATGTGGTGCGGAAACCACAGGGCATCACTGCACCACAGTGCTTGAAGCGAAGGACACATCGAAGCCGCCAACTGCGAAGCTAAGCAGATAAGCTCAGGGCATTAGAATGAGGTCCTTGTGGAGTGAGACCATGCCTGCTGTCGACTGGCTCACAGCATGTTAAATATCGCGACCGCTGCCACGTGTGGAAGGGCTAGAAAAGTGCAGGTTCCTTTGGATTGCGGCATATCTTAGGGGACTGCGGCTCTCAATAAGCTGTGTAGGTCAGTGAAACGTAAAGAGCGACCAAAATTGTTGTTTGCAGCCAGCTGGGCATTCTAGGGGCACATGAAGCCCTTGGAGGCCGACAGCAACTTGTGATTCTTCAGAAGCTAAGATGCAGCAAGTTTTCCGTGCAAGGCAGCCCATGGTGGTGCCCAGGCACCCTCTGCTGGGCGGCGATACATCGGATGCGAGGACCTCTTTCAGTAGTGTTTGTCAGAGACCCGAGTGAGGAACTACTGTAGCTATTTATGAGAAGGCAAGAACCGGGAAGATCATGGAAGATCAACTACTGCACATTCCGACAAAGCGACGAGACTAGAGATGCTGTGACGGGGGACGTCCCGCCCGTTTCTCCACCATGCGAACTCCCACGAGCGTGACCGTGCCATGAGAACACCATAGCACACCGGAAATGTCTGCAGCGGACGGGAGAGCAAGAGAGAAAGAGACAGAGCGAGGAACAACTCTCCACCATAGCCCTGGCGAAAGAAGAGCGAGACGGAGAGGCCTGGGGGCTGGGTTCTTAGAGTTCATCCAGACCTCGCCTTATCCAACACAGAATTTCACACAAGACCTTGGAGACCAGGGCGCGCATGCGCGCAAGGGGGAGCGGACCGCTCTTCATTTGGCTGCGTGGAAGAAAAGAGACAGAGAGCGAGCGCATAGCCGTTTTGGCTCAAGTGCTCAAGGTGCCGCCCCCGTGACCAGGCACCTCAGCCCGGGTGCGACCGTGGCTCAGACAGCTCGAGAAATCCTGCCAGCAGGCGGGACAGGTAGACTGTGCTGCCATCCGAGCCGAAGTACCAGTTTGCAACGCGACTACGCGTCTACCTCTTCCTCGCTTCGCAGGGAGAACTCGGTGTGGACACTCCAGGAGGGTGCCGCTGCTGTGCCGGGCGTGCGGGGGAACTTAACACCAGCTACCTGACCGCGGTCGGCGACACTACTCACCGGCTGCCTCGCGAAGCCGCGCGGGACTACCAATAGCTCGCAAGACAGGTACCTGAACTCAGTGACTGGCAACCCGACCGAGAATGATTCCTTCACCTACGCAAGAAGATGGGACCGGGGGAAAGAAAAGAGGGTCGCCGATATGGAGGCGCGCAGTCTGAAGGCCATCCGTGAAGTCACTAAAAGGGAATTCCCCGCCAACTGGCCAGGCCTCAGGCAAGAGAACTCCCAGTCCGTCAACAAACGCATGGACACGGTCGAAGAGAAGGCGGGGAACCAGCTGGAACACACGTTGGGCAAGCTGGCCCGCATCACGGAAGCGCAAGAGAACCACGCCCAAGCCGTGGAAGCGGTGCAAACCGAGCAAAAAGAGCTCGGGGCACAAAGTTAGAGTAGCAGATGCAGCAGTTCCAACTTGTATCGGGGCAGCTCCACCGCTGACACCGAGCATGGCACCAAACAACCCGCATTGATCCTCGGGGGATGGGAAGATGACTCGTCGGCGGCAGATACGCTCCAGAACGCCACGGACATGATGCAGAAGCTGCGAGTGGACATCGACGTGATCGTTGCCTTCAACACAAAAACGGGAGAATCACCAGAAGCTCTGCGCGAAAGACTGCAACAGGCCATCAAACGTGTCAGGCTTTATGGGCATGCGAGGTGACAACAAGCACAGGTACTGATGGTTGCAGCTGTCTCAGTCACCTGAACGACGACGGCGTGCTCAGCTGGCGGAGAAAGTGAAGCGCCTGGTGTTGTCCCAACGGGGGAATCCACATCGTCTTGAAGTGGAGTGGCCAGCGGGAACAATCTGGTTCAATGCAGTCCGCGTCTGCTCCCGCAACCACCAACCCTACAGCGGGCGGAAGCAGCTGGAGCCGGGTGGATCAACCTCGAAGCCATTGCCAATGCCCTGGGTAAGTCGCAAGCCACGGTCGCTGATGAATGGAGGGAGCTAAAACAAACTCTCCGCAGAGGACTGGAGCCTGCAGAAAGCGCCTGCGGTGACGACGACCAGGATGAAGAACCTGACAATTTGATTTGTGAAGGGAGGACTGTTTCTACATAGCAACCTGGAGCGCGGGCGGCGTTACCGCGGAAGGCACCTTAGACTGACCTGCTGCACGCATTCGGGGGAGCCAAACACGTTTGCATGCTGCATGTTCTGCTGATCCAGGAGACAATCACCGACCCCCGGAAATTCTTTAAGGACGCCCGAGGATGGAAGTTCATTTATGGCAAGACAGAAGGGGAATTTCGAAGGAAGGCATATCCGGCATAGCCTTCTGCACCGACATCGCAGCGCGCACGCAGACGGCCGTCGTGTCGGGAATTAGCAGGATTGTCCGATTGCACTCGCGCACGCACTGGCGGGTTCTCAACGAACCACACCACATCACGATTCCACAAGTCGAAGCAATGCTGCATGTTTGGTGGGAAGTGCCCGGCCATGCTCAAGCCCAAGATAGCATTGGCATGGACCGCGACGCCGCTAACGCCAACACCACTGCTCAGGCGCACGCCGACAGAGAGGAAACCCTCCTACGATGGAGCGCGAGCCACGACCTTCGCTTGCCGCCCAAGGCTTTCTTTCCATACAACGCCCTCCACGAGCCCAGCAGAGTTGATTACCTGCTGTTCAACGGGTGTTACTCCCTCAGCGCAGGCCAGTTGGGCCGCCCTGGATATGGCCAGATCCGACCACGAACCCATCCTGGCGCAGATCAGCTCCGCCGCGCCAAAGCGCAAGCCCAAGCAGGGGGCATACGCCACTTACCCCCTCCCCCCACGCAGCACGTCGAGGCCCACCTCGAGCAGGAGGAGAGCCGGCCGTCGGGGGACAAGCACCACCAGATCCAGACAACATCACGAAGCCAGGCAGGGGGGATGTCATCCGATTCGGCAAGACCAAGACGCTGCGAGAGCAACAACGCCAAGCCCAAAAGCAACCATCCAAGGGAGGCAAGCCGCGGCGTATGGCAAGCAGTACAACAGCAGATCAGAGCGGAATTCAAGCAACACCTCAAGAGCATGGTGGGGTGCGCCAGCACCAAAGACTGGGCATCCTACAGAGCGTGCAGGCAACAGACCCACGGCGGGATTGGACAGCGCTCAACGAGCCCTGCTACAGCACTTCGAGCAAATCTTCCGCGAAGCAGATGCTGACGCCAACGACCAGCACGTTGAATATATGCGCAAGCACATCGCGTGCAGATGCAAAACCACCAAGTGGCAGCCGTTCACGATGGTCGAATTTCTTATCGTCGGCAGCAAACGGGTGAAGCACAAAAGCACAGGGGTGGATGGCATAGCCCACGAAGCCCTATACTACTGCTTCTCCACCACCCCATCTGGGGGGAGCGAGTCGTTGCCACGCTCAACGAAGCCCTCTACACAGGGTTGCTGCCAAAAGGGGGGGGAACCCACAGAGCTGGAGCGACACCCGCCCCATCGCACTCAGCAGTGCGGAGCTGTGTGGAAGAACAGATGAGCCCCTGAGAAAATAGCAAGCTCGGAAGCCGTGACTTGCGGCACATAATTCGCGATGTAAGCAGGACTCAAGCGGGTACGACACAGGACAGTAGACTCACTCCAAAACGATTGAAGACCCGAATTTTGCCAACGGCTGTTGGTTTGAGCAGCACTCAGTCTTTCCGTTTCCGGATGCAAGTCGCAGACGAGCCCATCCTTCCAAAAAGGTGATGGGACAGAGCTGGCGCTTATGTCATGAGGACCGGGCAGCGAGGAGATCAACCATCGCTCCGGAAATGCTGTGTTGCAGCTGGCCCAGCGTCGATGCAGAGAGCTGGCCGAGCGCGGTTTCTATGTCGTCCCGGTTGGCCCCTTCCAGGACGTCCAGAATTTCCCGGACCGACGGACCGGGGCTGTTGATCGGAGGGCCCGGGGCACCGGACGGGGAGCGGCTATCGGAAGGGGATCCCCGGGACATGACCGGACCGGAGAGGTCGAAGTCAAGAGCACGAGGCACAACGAATTGAAATGCCCAAGGCCAAAGATCTAAGCCGAAAGGACCGCGGGCTGCACCATGAACGCGCAGGCAGCAACGGACCTAAAGGCCAGAATGCAACCGCGGGCTGCACCATGAACGCGCAGGCAGCAACGGACCTAAAGGCCAGAATGCAGGCGACAGTGACAGAGCAACTGAGAACACTGTGTGCCTGCAACTAGAAAACATGTCACCTTGGGTTGCACGCAGTCCAAGAGCAGTCGATTGAAACATGTGCACGAGTTGAATTACGATTTGTCGGGAGCTCCTTCCGCCGGCGAGCGGATTGAAGAATTAGATTCCCAGTTCCCAACAACCTCCGGTCCTGAAACCTCGAAATGCCGAACGACAGAGATCCCAAGGTGCTGAACAGCCCCGAAGACTTTTTTGATGTGTCCGACGAGCACACATGCTTATGGCGACTCGTGTGCACGGCTTGTGAATTTGGGACCAATCCACCTGTGCTGTTTCAGGGGAAGGGCGGGAAGCGAAGTGGAAAATGCTTGAACAAGTGCTGCCACGGCATCCACTCCAAATGTTGCTCGAGCGATTCCGTTAAAAGCCCGAGAGTGAACTTGTAGTTTTGGACATGTCCTCCAAGTACGTTGCGCTGATCGACCATGCTGTGTTTGGCCAGGAGCACATGCAGGATGCAGGTTGGCCCCAGTGTCGGGTCTGCGACAGAGCGACGGAGGCACTCCTTTGTGGTGCCCGTGACCCGAGGCACCTCCGTACCATTTGCTGGAAGACATGGCTCTGGAAGAAAACACCTTCCGGCCCACCAGGTCTGCACAGGGTTCAAGAGGTGGCAACCATCCCGACATGGCCTTAAGCAAGGCTAATGGCTGGGTAGCGGACAGTTTCCGACGGGCTCCGCAGACAGGGTAACCTGAACCTCTTCACGGAGCAGGGCGCCCCTGCTGACGAACGACTCTGGAGTCGGTGGGGTTTTGGACAGGACATCACATCTGGTTCAGTCTCCTGTGCTGTCAGGAATGGCCCTCTGCCGCACCAGTCTCCTCCGAGGCAGTGCAATGCGCCGCTTGGCTTGTCGGGCTTGGTGCAGTGCAGGCAGCCATCTCCCTCTTTGTGGGAGGGCTATGCAAGCACGGAAGCTGCAGAGGCCTGGCCTTAGACCTCGAAGCGTGACATTGGCACCGTGACCTGGTGCAGGTCAGAATACCTTCGCAAGCCGAGATGAAAGATTCCTTGAAGGTCTCGGCTTTGCCTGCCACGCTTTGGCTGGATGACACATTGTCAGGAATGGCTATGTGCAAGCCACAATCTCGAGATCGGTGATGTTGTCAAATGGGATCAAGTGCATCCGCCATGCTTGGACGTGAAGGGTGACTTCTCGAGCTTCAGGCACAGATCGAGCCATGTCTCGAAAACGAGGTCGCCGTGGAGAAGAACGGCATGTTCTGGATTGTGTTCGCACTCAATTCGAAGGCACGATGTCTTGTAAATGTGTTGTTGCACACGAAGTTGCCGAGAAAGAAGTACTGTACTGCATTAACAAGGCTGATTCGGTTTGCTTCGTTTTGCCCTCAGTCGGGTGCACCTGGCCGAGGGCATATCGCTGTCGCGGGAGGGCCCGACAGCCAGAGCTCTTGCGTCAAAGCTGTCCTCGCTACCGTGCCCTCCTCATCGGAACACACTTGAGAAAGCGTGTGTGTGGTTGTTGTGTCGTTGAGCGAGCTGCGTTCTTGCTAAGCAAGCCGATGCCCTTTCCCGGTGTGAGCGTAGTCATGCTAAGGATTACAGAGCTGCGGCACTTTGGGCTCCGTTTGCAATCACCTCAAAGTGAGGTGCTCTCTGAGATAAGCCTTCTAGAGCTACCGGACACTTGGCTTGGCCGTTCGAGGGGATTCGGAGTACAAACCTCTCTCTCCAGTCTCCAGGCAGGGCCCTCAGATTGGATTGACAGACTAAATTTGGATACACATCGTCATAGTGGGTTGAAAATGTCTTTCATTTGATTCATATCAGAGAGAACAACTACACAAGCAAAGCTGAATAGTACCACTAATCACCATCTCCAAGCAGCACAGCGACCAAGCCGACATAAACACGAAACATGCACCAGCATGTCGACCAACGTGCCCTTTTGCGCCGTTCAGGGGCTCCTACGCACCAGACCCTCATGCTCATGCGAATTTGCTTGATACCCACGGCAGTTGACAAACCAACAGCTTTGGCCGTTTGTGCCCGAATGAGGTGTTCACGAGAGCCTCGGATCCAAGGCGAACCCTGCTCAGTTTACTGGTGACATCCTCGGCACGGAAATAAGCGTTCGTGTTGAAGAGTAGCCGTCCGGTCTCTGTGTGTCGCACCCCGGCACGCAGCTCCATGGTGCTCAGTTACTTGTTCAGTACATCGCCGGGGATGCAGAGGCATCCTGTCAAACAGGCTTTTGTCGGTATCCTGTCGAGCAAGATCGGCCGCAGCTGGCGTGCCAGATTGGAGTTGTGTACTCGGGCTTGGGAAGCAAAGCGTGGAGGTGAGTTGATGCCATAGAGGTCTAGTCTGTCCTCTCCGGAATGCATTCGCCACTAAACCAGCGTGGCCTCGTATGTCCGCATGCAATAACCAGAGAGGGCAGCCTGCTGCTGTAGGCCTGTGGGCAGGCAATCATGTACAATCAAAGGGCTTGGACAAGAAAGATGTAGCTGTCTGACCATTTCGATGAACGGCAGGCTTCTAGCATTCTAGCAACATATGCGGGTGCATGCTTCCTGTAATCCTGCGGCCCTGGTCCAATATCCAGCTCTCGCATTTGAGGGTGCACCACCGTGGCAGGAAACGGAGACCTCTGCTGAGATCTCTGATGCTGCAGGCCGGATGCGGAGCACCCGAGAAATCTTCGGAGCTGCCCCGGCCAGAAGGTGCGCGACGCACTCGCAGCCCGGAGGAACTGGTCGCAGCGACAGAACTGTTTAGGAAAGTGAAAGGACCTGGTTTGTTTCCGTCAGGACGTTCGAAAGAGATACATAGCTTCCGGAAAGGACTGGAGTAGTACAGTCATGATCAGTTCAGGCTTTGGCCAATGGTCTTTGTTGCTGGAAGACTGTTTTGAGGACAACTTCAAAGGATTGGGCCAGGCGCAAGTTGAAGCTACAGCCTCAACACTGATTTTTGCTCGAACCATATTTGTTTTGGAGCTCGGCAAGGCTCGCGCAGGAGGGCGCCGATTCATTGAGATCAGGACCCGTCAGCAACTGTGGTGGTTGTGAAAGACCGGCTGCAGCTACCAGGGACAACCTGACAAGCGGCGCCACTTTCAGGGAGAACGGCGAGGCATGGGTCCCGATACTTTTAAAGGGTTAGCAGTCTTTCAAGTACTTTGCCGCTGTGTGAAGGACCCTCAGGCGTTCCTGCCCATGCGCCGAGCTGGACACTTGAACCAGGGCAGTGGCCCAGCTGCAAGTCGTGTTGGTGTTAGGAACAGAGTCTTGATGCGCTGCAATGGATTGAGGTCCTCTGTGGTGACACGATGCAGTTGAAGTTGAGGGAAAATTGCAGGTGAGGGTAATTCGGCTGAATTCGGTAGTCCTACTGTAGCTTCCCTGTCAGCAAAGCTTCTGATCCATCGTCATTCTGGCTTGGCGTGCTGGAAAAGGGTTCGTACGATAACACAAGTCGGGAGCCTTCATTGTCTCAGAGCAAGACAAGAAGACAGTTTGGCCCCTGGGGCACTTTGTGCAGAGTTTGTTCATGTAGCGCATATTGGAGGCATCCACGCTTGCAGGATCGCGCTTCGCGCTCGCTGGTGTTTTGTGTCTTTCATCCAAAGCAGGGCATTTGGATTGTACGCTTGGTTTGTCATCAGCAAAGGCCGTCTCTTGGAAGAGAGAGCAAGCAAGCGCCATCGGCTGTCATCTGCTCTAGCTCTTCGGCAGCGCCGCGTGGATACACCCGACTGCAGCCTGATGAACTGGGACCGGGTAGACTCAACAAGGCGTAGATGCCGACACAATCGTCTGATGCATACAACTAGCAGGCACATGTCCGACACCGGGCGTGCTTCTTAGAGCATGACTCCGTACTCCACATGGGTTCCTGCTTTATTCGAATGCATCTGGGTGACGGCATGGAGCCAGAGGCAGATCTCTGGGTGGCCGGCACCCGGCATTGGGCCGTGCTGTTGTCTCTTTCGAAGGTTGGTTGTGTTGACGTATTCACGACGTATTCAAGGCCGTAGGCCGTGGTCTGTTGAGTTCAAGCGATCTCGCTATTTATGAAACACACTTGTGGCGAGAAATTGGGGAGGCGCGTTAGGCGCTTGTAACATTAATACATGAGGCCGTTTCGACGTGTAACTGAACAAGCTGTGGCCGTTTGGCTCCAAAGGCACAGCCGCTCCGTTTGGTGAGGAGGCATTGTAGACCTCCGTGACGCAGCCGTGGATGGGGATCTTTCTGGATCCTAAAATTCGAAACAATGTCCTGCTTCCGATATTTATTGTGGTCGTTCTGACCTCCATGATTCGGTCGAGCCTAATGATCTTGTTGAAGGCCGAGCCAAAAGTCGATGTGAAGGAGGTCAAAACACAGAGCATGCTTGGAAGATGCAAAATGCTGAGAGCAGCATCGCATTTTCTCACCGAGAAGGCTTTCAAGTCGCGGAAAGCCTATTTTGTCAAAAAAGATGTCGGTGTCCTGGTGAAATCTGTGCCCAAAGCGAAGGACCCAATGGAGGCTTTGCAGGGGGGCTCTGATCCCATGGCTATGATGGGAATGATGAAGGGCCAGATGGTCTTCATGGTGTCTCAGGGGCTCTTAGCTTATTGGGTCTCCCACCTCTTCTCCGGCTTCCTGGTTGCGAAAACCCCTTTTCCATTGACCTTTCAATTCAAGGCCGGGCCAAATTGGTCTAAGCCACAAGATCAATTGCGTGCTCTGTTTCTGCCCAGGGAATGCTGCAGAGAGGCGTCGAGGTCACTGCCTTGGAGCCAGGCTACGTTTCATCACTCTGCTGGTATATGCTTCTTTGCCTGATCAATCAACACAGCCTTTTGCAGTCTCACCGAGCTTGAGCGCCAGCCAAGGTTTGTAATGATGAGCAGTCATAGCCTCATAGGGCTGGTGCAGTCATTCTTCACCAAGTCAGACGTTGAAGCTGATGATCCGATGATGGCCATGCGACTTGGCCGATCCCCATGACAAGCTGCAGCCATGCCTTGAACTTGCAAGTTCGCTGCCCGCAAGGATGGGAACGATGGGCGGCGCCCCAATGATGCCAGGTGGTGGACCAGACCCCGCCAAAGTCTACAAAACAGAACAGGACCCTGCTTTGCATCTGCCAACGCACTGTTTTGTTGCTAGTTACCCTTGGGCCAGCAAGAAAGCCCAGACTGTAGTTCCATGCGAGGACAACCTTGAGATGATCTTGCACGAGTTCCTTCTTGACAACGTGGAGACCGAGCTGTGGAGAAAATGGAAAAATCAAGGCTGAGGAGGCAGGCAACGTGACTGGAATCCGCATGCTGAAAGTCTTGCAAAACGGACGGAACATCACTTTTGCTCTTGCTTTCCGGTTGAAGAAGTGCCTCTACTCCAGGGTCTTGCACCTTCTGAAAGCTTTTGCGAGCAGTGACAACTGCCAATACTCGTACCGCAGACGAAGTGGCTCCAGTGCCGCTTTGCAGGAACATGTGGGGATGGGTGTGGATACAGACGATTGTAACAGTCTTTTTTGCAGTACCGATGACTACTAAACTCGACACATAAGAACTATGCCCCCTATTAGAAAGATTCAGGACTTAGTTGGTATTACTTGCTGATGAAGTCAAGACCACGGATTGGACGGTGCGAGAGGCCCATGCCTGTTCTTTTTGGTGACTTTGTCGTTGGCATGCGATGTCTCCCCTGTGGAAGGTGAGTGCCATGGATGGAAGTGTTCCTGATAGTGGAGGTGGCCTGCCTCCCGCAAGGACGACAATGATTTCATATTGTTTGCTAGAGAAGGCCTATCCTGGTATTACCTCGACAGCGTCCAGAAGGCTTCGCCCAAGACTCTGCCAGGTGAGAAGTGCTTTATCGCTTACTCAGCCAGGAATTCGGACCATTCGCACAAGCGACGATGCGTGATTGGTTTACGCAGGCTGGGCATGCGCAAGCATTCATTCTGCACCCCCTTCGGGTCCATGCCTTGTAGCTTCGAATCTATCCCGGGTCAGCCTATAGAATCTGAAGCCTGTTCTTGTTGCAGGGCTTCTTCCCAAATGGTGAGGAGCTTCTGATCAGGCACAAGTCTCTGGCGAGCAGCTAGCCAGCTGCTGTGCTTACGTGACATTTGGCAGGCTGCCTCATTGGGAACGCCACGTCGCTTTGAAGATGGTGTGGCCCGATGCGGGGCGCCGAGCAGGGCTATCGGTTCCTTTTGCAAGTGCCGGGATGTGCCGGGTCCACATGCGCGGCGGCGGCAGCAAGCGGTCCGATTTCTTAGTCGTGACAACTCGTGTCGCCTGGCAGGTTTCTGAGGCTTTCCAGGGAATGCCACGATCATCTCCGCCGGGGCCTCCTACACAGGCCGGCAGATTCGAAATGTGTGCAGCGGCTCCGCAGCACCGAAGCAGTGGATGAGAGGTTGGAGAAGTTGAAGGCTTCGACCCGCACCACACCTGGACCCAAGGCAGTCGCCTGCAAGTTCCACGCACCTTTCTGTCCCAAGGTATGGGGACCTTCAATCGATTGGCACGAGGACAGCCCGATGCAATCGCTAGTGGCAATTCGGGTGTGGCTGCCACTACTGTGCCCTGCAGAGCTTCTTTTACGGTAGTTGCTCTCATTGTTGCCACCGCCACAGTTTTGCTCATGCCTCGTTCTTCGCCATCTCCTAGCGGCTTGGTCTCCGCACAGGTTCAGAAAGTGCAGGTAAGTCGGAGATTCCATCACCTTTCCCTCGTAAAGGGTACGCTCTGCTTGTGAGTTATGTTGTAATGTGGAAGCCACAATAGTTTTGGCAATGCAAGCTTCCGTGCCAACCGATTTGAGGGGGTCGGTTCGTCCAGTTCGAACCAGCTATCGAAAACGACTGGAGATTTTGAGATTCGGTGCCGACGCGATTGACTGCACAATTTTGGGTTTGCTCGTCTCTTGTGCTGACCCTGGTTGAGGAGGCCTTCCGAAGAGTCTCCGTATCTTGCGGCCGACATGTCGCAGATGGGAGGGTCTGTCTTTGGCAGCTGGCATGCTGAGCTGGGTAAGGAGACGCAGCGAACTTGTGAAGGTGCAGTTTCTGGGGAGCGAACGGCGTCGACGGTGCCGATGGCCTCAGCAAAACCATAGTCGAAGTCGTGGGCCAGACATCTTGGATCAAGTCGCGTGTGCGGTTCAGTGCTCTGTCCCCAGAAGCAACCTCCCTCAGCCCTCCCCCCCCCCCTGAGATGTAACC